CCTTAACATCCTTGTTCAGAATGCTTGCGACAAATTCTGCCATTTGTAGGTCCTCCGGATCGTCTGTCGAGATCCAGTTGATGTATGGATTTTCAGTACACTCCTCTCCTAAGGCGTCCAGCGGAGTGACTAAGGGTTCCTCCCTTGGTAACTGAAGCTCGTCGGTTTCTTCATCAGTCACACGATTAGTTTTACGAGCTTTGGGGGCACAGCTCTCAGGGCACCTGGTGTACCTCCACTCCCCTTTGGCCCAGTCGATCTCGGGATTGTGTTTCCTGAGATAGGTCATGCCGAGGATCATGTCCTTTCTCCCCAAATCTGCGACTAGCAGTGGGTGTGTCGACTTATGTGATCCTATTTCGACGTAGGCTCTAACGGACTTATTTATTTGACCGCTTTTATTGGAGGTCCCGTCTGCGTTATAAACGTTGTATGGGGTTGCCAGCTTATGCGTCACCAGGCTGTTACTTTCAACAACTGACCGATTGATGAACGATGTTGTGGCCCCTGAGTCTACCAAAGCTTCGACCTGCACTTTCTTTCCGTATACCCACAGTGTCACAGGCAGAGTGAATGAATTCTTGTTGCGAGAGATATTTACAAGACTGCTGTGTACACTATCTACATTGATTCCGACGGTGGGTTCCGATTCCTTAAGTACATGTTCGCAGGTAGTCACATGTACTTCTTCCAAAAATCCGAGGTAGCTGCGGTGGGTTCTGTCTTTGCAGACAGCTGGGGTTCATTCTTCCCAGCCAGAGTCAATTCCTCGACATTTGCAATCTCCTCGATTCTCGCAGTGTTGGCGCTCACGGCTTTCGTGGATGGGGGCGTGTCGTCCTCGCTATCTGTAAGCTCGACTTGAATAACCCGCGTTTTCTTAGCCTTCTTGGCCGCGGGGTTACCACTTCCTCCTTGCGCCTTCCTAGCGCCATCCCCTTGGGTATTCGGCCGCTTGTCCGCATTTTTGGCCAACTTGTAGCAATCATCTGTGTTATGAGTCTTCGACTTGCAGATGACGCAATACTTCTTTGCCTCTGTCGAGGCGGCCTCAGCGTCCTTTGCCTTGCCTTTGCCTTTACCCTTTGATTTCGACTTTTCAGCCGAATCAATGTCCATGGGAACAGCGCCGCCGTTATCTGAGCCACTGTTTTTGAATACTGAGCCTCGTGCCTTCTCCGGGTTGACGATCTTGTTGATGTTGAGCAAGATGTCGAGGAACAACGTCCAATCCTTTGGCAAGGTGGACTCATCCTTTCCGGCCAACACCAACCGCATGTCACGAGGTATAACCTCCCGGAGTTTGTCGATGAGGAGACTATCGTCATACTCCGTGAGACGTCCGAGGGTGCGGAACCTCTCAGCGTACTTCACGAAGTCCTTTGAGGCCAGATCCTTATTGATGAACAGCGCCATGATCTCCTTCTTTGCACCCTCCTTGTCGTCGCGTTGCCCGTATATCTGGGCTAGTTCCGCCACAAATGCCTTCCAGGTGCCCAGATCCTTTCCTTCCCACATTTTCACGTAATAGCTCTTCATGTACTGATGAGCTGGTCCTTGCAGCTTCGAGAGGGCCGTGACGATTCGCTGTTTGTCGGTGGCCACTCCCTCATGCTCGCACCACAGTACGATCAGGTCCAGCCATTCCTCAAGCTTGGTCTTATCCTCACTGCCCTTGAAGGCCGGAGGCTCCCCAATCTTAGGTTGACAGGAATGACCACTACCCATTGACGCAGGTAGCGCATTGACTTGTCGCTTGTAGGAATCGACTAGTGCCTGCTGATTCTGGACCGTGATATGCAGGGATTCAACCTCTCGAAGGAGGCTTTGAAGGTATCCGTCGTAGTGCCTGCTTATTTCTAAGGTCAGGCGACCAATCCAGTCTCTGACTCGTCCAGTGGTCGATTCTGCAGCATTCGCAGTAACCGTTTGCAGTAGAACTGCTTGTTTGTCAGAGACGTTCACGTTCTGGAAGATTGCATTGCGCCACTCTTCTTCCGTGGCGATAGCGAATGCTTCGGTCGGAACGAAGGGGATGTATGGGGCCATTTCTTATGGTAGTGATTAGCCCGTATTCACTTATGATTGAAAGAAAAAAGTGAAGCGAAGGAGATCTCCTCCTCATGCCATATAAGCCAATTATGCCAGAAAAGATTGCCAATCTTTATTCCACTATCTACACTTCGTACTTGAAGGTGATGTTAAGGCTAGCCAACTCATTACAAATCTCCGGCAGGCGACTGCTTAAGTCTTCGAAGGAGACATGCCCGATCCTTTTCAGGTCGCGCTTGATAACTCTCCAGTGCCTGTTGGTAAGCCGGCGCGCCTTCTTCTCCAGCCCATGATACAACTCGTCGAAACCATCGCCCATCCTCCTGACTTTCGCCACAACTTCCGGCTCCAAGCTCCCTTCTTCCTTTTTCATTCGAGCAAATACCGGTTCCAGCCTGTTGGCTGTGGCGGCAAACATCTCGTTGTACTCGGATGTGCGCAACAGAATCTTCGTGTGCTGGAAGTGAATGTCGGGGAGCAGCTTGGGTGGTTCGTATTCATAGGAGGGTCCCGCCTGCATATCAATGCGATCGATGAGGGGGGAAGCAGGGTCGGAGATACGATCGAGCAACTGTTGCTTCTTGAAGAGATGCGCACGAAGTGCAAGCTCCTCGATGTCGTGTTTTGCTTTTTCAGCACGTTCAGGGTTGAAGGGGCGGCGAATGAGTGGTTTGATGGTGGGGCGTACAATTCGGCGAGGTTTGCCAACGTCGTCGAACTTGTGCGTGTTGTGGATGGCAATGCGCTCAAGCAGGCCTGTCGGCTCATGCTTGGCAGTGACGATGAAAGGTTTGGCTTTCGGCATGGCTACGGCAGAGGGGATTAGATAACAGCTTTTCAGCTGGCTCTTTTCAGAGTGAAGAAAAGGGTATGTGCTATACTACAGGGTCCATTGGTCGTGCTTCGTGTCGGCGTCCTCCTGCTCTCTCTCAGCAGGTAGGGAGGGGGGAATACAGATCTCAGTCGGGTTTCCACGCCCGCTGCAAGTGGTTTTGGGAGAATCTTACACTCTCCCTAAGGCTGCCCATGCTGGTTATCCGTCGTAAGCCCTAAGGCCTCATAGAATGGTAAACCACATTCCAGCATGTTGCCCATAAGGCAGCAACCTCCCCTTACGCCTAGGGACCGGCGAAAAGCTCAGCATGTTGACACCAATTGTTCAACCCTGACCAATGAAGGTAGGTGCTTCGCAAAAAGGTATTGCCACTTTTCAGTTGACAAACCGTAACCCCCAGAACCCACATGAAAAGGCCACCTTACGCTTTGCAGCATAGGGGCATAGCAACGACCAATAGGCCCTGTAA